TCTTGAAGTGAAGATTTCGTGGCAGGTGCAGCACTTTGTGAACCTCCATGTGCAGATTTCCTGGCAGGCACAGTTTAGTTTTGCCTGGGTATGATTTGTTTTGTTTTGGATTCTGTACGTATAGCTGACCATGACTAGGGACACTGTTTGGAAAGAACCAGCAGTTGGACTGGGTTGACTGGGTGTGACTTGCTTTTGTTTTGGGATCCGTACATGTAGCTGACCATGGTTTGAAGGCGCTAGCTAGCAAGCCAGAGAGCAACTGGTGACTTTGTACTACAACTTGAGTACGCGGAGCAATCTGTGCAGCTAGAAGCTGAGAACTGGCGACTTTGTAGTACAACTTTCGTACGAGGATGAGTCATCTCTCGCTGCTGAGTATCTGGGGAGCTGGAAAATGAGAACTGGCGACTTTGTAGTACAACTGTAAAGTACGCGGAGTATTTGGCAAGCTGGACAATGAAGACATGATTTTGACTTTGAAAACACCACCCACTTCGCGTGCCCGCACCAGCTGCACTTAACTTTCGCTTGCAGATGCCCAGTTGCTTCAGCACGCCGGTGTGGGCTGGTGATCTTGCTTTGCCATAGACACAACCCAGTGCGCTGATCCTGCAGGGAGCACAGACCTTGCACAGGTGGCGCTGTGTGTGTGTCAACAGTCCGGAGCGCATGCGTTTGGCTCAGTGAGTGACACGAGGGACACGCATGGTGGAGAGAACGTGGACACTCCTATAGGTCAATGTGTTCTTATAGGAAACTTCCGCCGCCGGCTTGCCCGGGAACTGTTTGTATATATATATATATATATACACTATATATATATATATATGACTTTTGCTGAAAGTTTGACGATGCTTGACGTATCATCCATGAAGTCCTCAGCTTTAACTGCAGGGCGTCAAATGAATGCCGGCAGTGCAAGGAAACCCCACCCAGTGGAGAAGAGTTACGGCAATCAGGTACGAATCTTGAAGCATTTGGATTTCTCCTCGGAGGCGATTGACATTAAACATTTCGCGCAGCTAACCCTACCATATACATGTATATATATAAATATACGTACTCATATCAACGACTAACCTCGTGCGCTTCTGACTTCTTCTAGCAACCAGGAACCTCAGCAAACGGACTTCGAACCTGACCCAGCTCCACAAAGGCCGAAACACATCCAACCGGCGCCAAAAACTCACGCCGAGATCGATTCAGGTGTGTTTTTGGGCTCTGTTCGACACGGCCTATGGATTAACAAATCTACATATATACTTTTTGTACCCTCTGAGAAGGTGATGTGTTCGACACTTTATATAGGCGCCAGGGTCGGGTCCAGTCGTACCCAAACCATTTTGAAGGGTCCTGTGGAAGATCGGAAGGGACATAACGGTTTAACGGATCAGCTGCGAACCGTCGCTGCGATCTGGTCAAGCAAACCGGCCCAGCTTTGGGATTCGGTATCCAAAACATCGAACCTTCCAAAAACGGTTTTGTTCGTCCAAAGGTGAATTTAAAGCCACAGGCCTGGAAGGAAAGGAATGCAAGCACACGTGTGGGACCGGTGAACGAAACAAAGAGTGACTAAACAAATTCAGCAACCCAGTGAGATCATTTCGGCCCAAATACAGGAGTTTTTTGATGCCCCGAAGAGAGTGTTTTCCAGCACCAACCAAAAGCATAGACTGACCCCATGGTTGGGGGTTCTTCCATTTCGGTCTGTGAAGGGTGAACAATGCTGTGAACAAACACTCGCAAGGATTGACTTCTGAAAAATCATCTTTATTGAGTAAAAGGGCTTAACGCCTGAAGGGTGTAGCCATGTTTTACCCAGTATGATTAACTACAATTCGTGGATATTTTGGGGTTGCTGCACATATTTGTCTGCTTCGTCTATCGCTGGGCCATCCGGACGTGCCCAGCAGTTCACTGGATACTCGGGGCAGGTCCTGGGTAGGTCCCAGGAGGTTGATGTCGGGGCGTGACAAGAATTGAACAGCGTTGCTCTTTCAGACTTCATGCTAGAAGAAAAACAAAGCTACTTCAGTTCAAGTGAACCTCACCATGACACTTCAATCTGACAACTTTTTAATCGGCAGATATTGAAACATCATTTTTGTATTTTTCTCGGATATCTTCTGACATTCTTTCTGATCTTCGTTCTGCCATATTTCTAGCATTCTTTCTGAAATCATATCGTCTGACATTCTTCTGATGTTCTTTCTGGCAAATCATTTGGCACTCTGAATGGCATATTTTCTGACGTTTGTCTTGCATTTGTCTCTGGCAGATCTTCCGACATTGTTTCTGGCATACCTTCTGACATTCTTTCTGTTATATCTTCTGACATTCTTTCTGGCTTATCTTCGGACATTCTTCCTGACATTCTTTTTGGCATATCTTCTGACATTCTTTCTGTGAATTTCTGTCATATCCTCTGACATTTGCCGGACCTCAGCCGCCAGCTCCGGACGGCAGTGTTCCCCGCCGTACCTCCTCCAGACAGCAATGTTCCCCGCCAGACCTCGACCGCGAGTCAGAAGATATGCCAGAAAGAGTGTCAGAGGATATGCAGAAGATATGCCAGAAAGAATGTCAGAAAGAATGTCCGAAGAATATCAGAAGGTATGCCAGAAAGACACTGCTGTCCGGAGCTGGCGGTTGAGGTCCAGCGCGGAACACTGCCATCCGACCCTCGCGGTTGAAGAGGACGACGAGGAGAGGAGAGGACAGGCGAGCAGGAGAGAGGAGAGCAGCGAGGCTAACACAAAATCTAACAACCCTCACCTGACAGGTGGGAAAATACATGAAAAACATTGAAAAACACATAAAAACACCATCGAATCTGGAACAAGGATTTCAACCATCAGGACTTGCAAAGCTGCTTCTCTCACACCCCTCCTCGCCATACAGGAGCTGCACATGTCTGGCACCGTGCGGCCGTCGAACGAGATGCTGCCGGCGATGCATTGGGGTCCTTGGCATTGCGCAGCGAAGCAGAACCTAAAACATCCAAAAACATACAACAACATCAAAAGCATACAGTAAAACCACCTGTTAGCAACCAAACAACCTGTTGCAGGGTCCTGGTAGAATGAACTCACCTGCTGCAGCCAACAGAAGAGATGCCAACCAACCAAAACCAACAATAGCTGCTCCAAAGTCTGCTTTGCACCTGTCCTGGTAGTTCCAGCATGCGCAGCCCCCAACGGTAGCATCAATTGCGTACTGGAGTGAGCGCACTTGCGAGCGAGCGAGCGAGCTTAACAAGCATGTAGCTTTGTGTTGCTTTGAAGCATGTACGTGGTGATACAGTGGAAGCCATTGTCCCACCCAAGTGGGCAGGCGCGATCGAGAGGATATCCACGCTGCGTGATCGGTTCAAATGGCTTTCAAGATCCCAGAACAGTCCCAATGACATGCACCAAGAATTGCAGAACCATGGAACCCCCATGGTGAATCCTTTGACCTTCCTCACCTCCGAGTCCAATCAAAAAGGGGCCCATCAGCCATCCAGCGGGCGAACAGCTCACCGCGCATTTCTTCCCCGTTTTGCTAAGCCGAGGCTCCGTATGTCACTCCCCATGCAGTATGGCGGTTCCATTCTCCTCAGGACCACAGGATGGCCGGACGGACGAGGGAACTGGTTGAAGTGGAGCAAGAGAAGGGCCATTCGATGTTTGGGGGTTGGTTCAAACATATTCCGAACTTGAATAAGCCTGATCCTGATCCTAGCATATCCTAGCTATGTATACTGAATTCTGGATTGAGTCCAATTGAGAAAGATTGACGCAATGTTGATAAGGTATCATTGATATCACAAGCTCCATGTATGAGGAAAGGATCGCTGACAACCTCAGGACAAATGGTATTCATTATTCATCCATCTCCAACAGGATGGCCTTGGAATGTGACTTGAGTGATCTGGATGGCGTGTTTGAGACTTATTAATAACAACATATTAAGATACATTAAGAATCATTAAGAGAACAATCAATGTCCCCTCGTTGCCTGGGGGCTTTCGAGTTACCTTTCCGAAGGGCCTGACAACATGAAAGCAGCACAGAGCTTCGGAAACGCGTGGCAGAACAGCGAACGCTCGATGGCTGTCGTTTGAAAGGGCCAGGTTCAATTTTATATCCTGGAACATCCTAGAACTATGTTGAAACCTCTTGAGCCCTGCCATGCGTGCGGCCCATGCGTGCTCTGCTGAAGACGCCGCCACGTATACCAAACCTCTGCACTTCAGATCTTAAATGAGAATGATAGACTGATAGTCGCACAGACTCGCTGGACTTCTTCTCAACACATTGGCATTTGAGGCCCAACACAATGCACTTTAGAAAGCGCCTTGCGCCGAGCTTCCATCACAGGACAAGCACTCCCAAGTGGAGGGAATAATTTTGTCGCGGCATTCGATCACCACACCAATCTGGCCACTGCAACATCGTACAACAACGCCCGTGGCTGGACGACGAAAGCACGTGACGCAAATCCCAGTGACTCAGTGGACAATAAACATGGTATAAAATTGTGTGGATTCCACAAGTACGAAATGCTAGGCCTCTAACCAAGGGTTGTCGGGAGCTATCATGTTTTGGTTCTGGTAGTCGATCGGTGTTTTGATGCTTTTGTTGGGGTGCATGAAACCACGCCGAACCTCACCTACATTCAGACCTTGGACATCCATCCGGGCGTCTGAGAAAATCACCGTCCTTCAGTGGGGTGTAAAGTCTGACACCTTGGGATCTTGGGATGGATGTGGGATGATGGGGGATGTTTGTTCACCTGGTGAGGAGATCTGAGCGGTGAGGACATGTGAGAAATTGTGAGAATGTCCAGACACATCCAAAGGCAAGTGGTGCCTCGCTCACAAACGGGTCAGGGCCATGGGCGGCATCACCTACCGGCTTCATTCCCATAGTTAGTTTTTTTGGATCGGTCCGTTTCATTCCCAACGTTCTTTGTGGGCCGTTCCTGTGGGTGGTCCGTCCTAGGGGATTGGATCGGACGGATGGGCTTTAGCTTTAGCATTGAATTAGAGCGCCCTCGAGAATAGCCTCTTAGCAGTTAGACTCGGGTTCCCGAACCGTCTTCTGCAGCACAGACTCGTGCAACACAAGCTCGGTAGCTTAAAGCGTTGCGGTGAAGACCCTCAAAAACCGTGATTTGGTCTCGAGGCCTCCCCCAAAAAAGGTCTTGGATGAAGTGTGCATGAAACATCATGAAACACAAACAACATATTATATGTCAAACAAACATCTAGATATCTTGTATTTGTTCAACCAAATCACGACTTCTTCGACTTCTCGAACATCTTCTAAAAAGAAGCGTCAACTTCGGATCCCGGATCCGAACCGCAAACCAGGTAATCTTGGAGGGGCCACCTCGACCTCGTCTGACCTCATGAGTCCGAAGAACACAGGTGAAACCGCTTGTGAAACCGATGGCATCCTTGCCTCGATTTCGGACCAAATGCCGTTGGGGTTCTGCTGATACTTGGCCGTGGCTCGGGATTGGGTCGAAAGGCACATGCAATTAGCTGATATACTTGGGATATGAGCCTGATATGAGCCACATCTGATGTTTCAACAGAATAAACTATCACTGAATTGATGCCACACTTTTCTTCATACACAATAGTATACATACCAGTACATACTAGTACAGTATATACCAAGAACACTACCAAGAACCCGTGCGAGCCGCCCAGCCAGGACCCGTGGTCTTATAACTTCCAAGGCCAATCGGAATGTAGGCAGGGTGACAAGGACGACCTGAAATTCCAATGGACGAACTCAGAATCCCATGATTCTTGTTACTACTAGTAAGGCACTTGTTACTAGAAGCGATGCACTTGTTTCTACTAGCTTCTTGTTACTACTAGTAAGGCACCTGTTACTACTAGCGTGGCACTTGTTACTACTAGCTGCGCCCCTTGTTGATCTGAAGTGTGTAGATGTGACCGCTAGCACTTTAGGCATCACTATCAAGACCAACGAAGCGATGGCCAACCTACTAGCGAGAGGGGGATCATTAAGACACAATAAGACACAACAATCAAATCACGGAGAACTGCAGCACTGTTCAAGATTACTTTGTCACCTGAAAAGCTGCAGACTATACTGCCAAACGACCGCCACTTGTAGTGGACACCTATTCGCCGACATCAATGCCTTCTTGACCGGGCCAGGGCCAAAAGGCCAGACGCTGCGAGTCACCCAAGGATTTTCTGCATGGATTCAGCAGGATGATCCACCAAATAAACACCCATGGTTGGCAACATTGTTTTTTGTTTTGTTTTGAATTAATATATCCGAATGGTTCTGAATGTGTACATGTTCATGGTTGGCTCCAAAATGCGGGCTCTCAAAAGAAGAGATCAGAACATGGTTCCAAACGTTTGCACACTTAGAGTTTGTCAAGCCAGGTTATCCGACATGTTGGAATGGAGGGTTGTCTCTAAACCAGGTTGTTCATGGCTATTCTTGGAAACCGCCGATGAGTGATTATGTTTGTACTGGGTGAGCGGCCATGAAGGCGAGTAATGCCTACAAGGTCTTAGTCTGAAGTCTTGAATGGTCTATTCACATCACAATCCAGTCTGATTGTCACTGATTACTTCAACTCGGACAGCGACATGTGGACTGTATATACTTAGTACATAGATTCCACAAGCACAACATCAGTGTCCCAGCAGACGACGGACCGCACGTATACTTACGGATCCCAGCCGATCCAAACAACGGATTTGCAAGCAGAACATGAAAAGACCACTGAAAACAACAAACACATATGCATTGGACTATGCCACCATGGCGACTATGCCACCCTTTTTCCATGGCGACCGGGAGGTCACGCCAGTCAGGTCTTTTGGGTTTGTTTCGCCCCACGGAGGCGTCGAGGCTCCGCGGCATCGGTGCCGGTGGCGATGCATTCGTCCATCTGGGGACGGTACTGGTCATACTCCTGCACGCGTTGTGAAAACGGTCGGACACCGCCGATCTGTTCCTCGAAACGCGGGAAACGATGGCCACTTCAGAGTAGATAGATGCAGCAAAAGCGTGCAAATGCTACCAATCACTTATTATGTTATACAGTAAGTCAGTCAAGGTATAAAATTGGTCTGGTTTCCTCTGAGCTTTGCGCCGCGAATCTGCGATTGGGCGCCACCATGTGGGAGCGTTCAACGGAAGCGTTCTACGAGACTTGGTGAGGTTCGCTTGGTGAGGTTCGCAGTGCCAAAAGCAGGGAGGGAAGCCAACGCATATATTGATCACATGTGTGTTACTGAGTTCTCTTCTATTTCACTGAGCGTGTCAAGGAATTCCTCTGACTATAATACTTTCATGGACCTAGCCTACCCATTTTCCTGCAACTGCCCAGGAACTGTGCCAATACCTCCAATGTTCATTTGTGGAATTATCCTTCAAGGGCACGACGTGGTGGTACAAGGACGCGACGTGGTGGTACAAGGACGACGAGAACTGAGTGAAATTGAACTCCTAGCTATATCATGAATGCCCAGAGCCCCCATGGTCCAATGATTCTGGCTCCAATGGTTATGGGCCAGGTATGCCATGGGCTCCTGGAGCGGGGGGGTGCTGGGTCTGATGTTGTTGGAGTCCCACATCTCCCTCATACACCCGGTTTTTTGTCCCACACGCCTCGTGGCAAATGTCCCACATGGACTTCTCTTGGTCTTCCAGCCACTTATGACAATGGCCCTGCACACTCTCCTGGACTGAGATGAAGCGCCAAGGACAAAAAAACAGTGGAGATGAAGATGTGGAGATGAAATGAACTGCTCAGACTCGTCAAAATGACCGCTCGCCAAAGGCACCCACTTCTCTAGATCGCTCAGTGATCAGTGGACTTGGCCAACTCATGACTTTCGAGCATCAGGAGGACAATTGTGCTGTTCTCACTCAATTCTTTCAAGACCTGGTCAGCTGTACCCTCCCTCAAACGTGGAGGAAATTCCACAACGTCTTCGCTGTCAGGCGACTCAACGCAATGCAGGACCCGAATAGCCCTTTTTGCCTTCGTTCTATCCAAGGTCAACGCCCTATTCGGTCGCCAATTCGGCGGTCCAACTTGACTCACCCCTATTGACTATCCTCAAAAGTAATAGAATTACTAGAACGATACAGAAACCCAATTGCTACCTGGCTACTTCTCCCAACTTGACCCAACCTCCCCATTGAAGGAGTTTGCGCCATAGCATTTTATTTGACAAGAAGGGATGGCGAATAGAACACCAGGACACCACTCACCTTTCGTCTGGGCTCAAGCAACCATCGTTTTTACGTTTCTCCCGAGTCATCCTTTCTTACTCCCACTCACCAAGTCTTTCCTCACAGCAAATCTGCGGTTCTCTTTACGTGTTGCCTTTCGCACCACCCCCATGGACCACCGCTGTTTCCGGCGACGCCGGACGCACGCGGACGCGGTTTCGCCGGATTCCGACAGATCGACGGCCCGACTCCGACACCGGCGCGGACCGGCGCCTGGCAGATTCGGATGGACTCTTCACAAAGGATCCTTCATCGCGCGGTCCACCCCGGTCGCGCGACTCCGGTACCCGAGCGGGGGCGCGGGAGGATCACGGTTTGCTCCACCGGAATCGGTCCGTCGTGATCGGTCCAGGTGGGGGGGTCCACCGCAGCTGGTGGTGTGATGTGGTGTGCTTCCAAAAAGCCCTGAAACACGTGAAAACAGGAGACCGGAGAGTTTGGGTGTGTCGGTGAAGGGTCCTTAAGAAGGGACTGTATGTCGGTGACTAGGGCATGGGATCAAATATGTTCGACTGACTGATGCGGCTGATGCGACGAAGGTAGGGAATTCCTATCGGGTCCAGCCGGGGCCGAGCCACCCTCATTCCCTACTTTCGTCAGTCGCACCAGTCTGTCAATCGCTTCGAAGTATCGCACCAGTCCCTCGGTCACCCCATATCAGGCTCCTGTTGCCGGGTGTGACCACCCTCGGTCACCGGACCTCTTTTGGGGTCGAGTCCTCCACCGCCCTCGTACGACGAGGCCGGGCGAGGAATGCTTGCGACTGGGGACGACGTACGTTTGGGCGGCTGTGACAGACGTACGTGCGAAATGGCGTCCGTTTGTCTCGTTGTATCATGTTATATATACTCCAAATTGCTCAAGGTGGTTGTTGAGGGAAACTGGGAAGTTCCAAGTATAGATGCTGCCCCAGGTATTGAGTCAGAACTTCCACACTAACTTTGTTTAGTTGTTTCAACTGATATTGGTCACATCGCACTCAGGAGATAGCAAATAAGGATGATATTATCATATCGACCTCGACTCTCTCTCTCTCTCTCTCGTACTGTTTAAAAATATACTAGGCCAGTTGGTCAATGAGGTACTTGACGTCTATACCAGGGTTGATGGTTTTTTCCGCTCTCTCGGCCAAGCTGCGGGCAGCTGGTGCCAAACTCAGGCTTCCAAAGCCAGTTGCAGGAGGAGTCCCCGTTGTCTCCATAGCCTCGCATGATGCGGTCGCATGCGGCCGGTCACAACCAGCAGAAACCCCCCAGGTGTCACGTGGCGACCCCAGGCGACCCCACAGCTTGGTGGCTTGGCACGTTTTGTTTGCTGCCAGCGAACCCCACAGGAACTCGTGGATATGAATAAGCATGAGGAGTCTATGAAAAGGCTTTCCGTGCAAGGTTTGGTTGCGTCCAGCCCGTGTTGCGGCTGAAATTCCTGTTTGATAATTGTTTTTGTGGCTGTGGAAGTGGACTAATTAGACAACATTGTTCATGGTGCAGTCTTTTCCGAGGGACCCGCTTTGGACTTCATTTTGGACTCTGAATCCAAACGGCTGGCCTCTCACTTCATCGGAAGATACGAATAACATGTAAAACCTGACTCTACAACACGACCGAATTGAAACACACGTCCGTGTTCCAGGTGCTTGGGTCCGCTCCGTTTTGTCAAAAACACTTTCGGCGACCTTAGAAATGGTGTGCCGAGTCGACTCTTGATCTTCTTGGTTCAGTTGAGTATCTCTGATTTGGTGGGTTCAGAACTTGGCAGCCATTGAGATTCTCCTCCTTACGTTCTCTCCAGTTAAAGAAGAATTGTGATTTCCATGTTTGGACAGGCAATACATCACAGCAATCCACTGCAACTCCTTTCCGCACGTCCCAAGTATAGCAACATCGTTGCTGCCTGTGCCAAGAGCTAGGCTGGGGCTGTTGCTTTGGTCAGAAGACTTGGCCCATGAAACGTCACACTTCACTCCTCAAAACAAAATACGAGCGGGAATATCCCAGGGGTAGCTAGGCGAACAATCTGACAAAACAAAAAGCACAACGAGGGATCTCCGGTTCTACGGATCGTGGCGTTTTGTTCTTTTTACTTGGAGGCCATCGCTAGTAGGTTGGAGGCCATCACTAGTAGGTTGGAGGCCATCGCTAGGCTAGTAGGTTGGAGGAGGCCCCAGCCGTCAGCCCAAGCAGCAAGGGCTATTGGGATTGCATGCCACAGTGTCGTCGCAGGCAGCACACTCCCTGACAATGCGGAGGAAAACTTGCTGTCTTGCGATGCTTGTGCCACCGCAAAAGACTGTAGACAATGAAGGTTCATGTGGACCAGGTTGCCAATTAGAGTGCTTTGCAAGGGAATCAAGCACAACTAGCATGAATTGAAACACATATGTTTGCCCCTGCATTTCTGGAACCTTAATGGTGAAGGCTTTACGGTTTGAAGCCGTGCTATGCAGTGTCAAATCCCTTCATAGAAGATTTGAATTATTCTTAGGCTTGTGTAGGATTTGTTTATGAACGCCTTGTCCACCTCTTGCAATGGGCACATTGGAACTACGAACCTCACACCAATATCTCACACATTCAGAACAAATATCTCACTATTCAGCAGAACCCACAAATGAAACAATATCTGCACCATCTCCATATGCAGAGAGACCGGTCTCTGGTGGCTCGCCTGTAGGCTTGGTCACGCGAGGAGAACGCGGCATCACAGGCACCCTCGCTGCACTTGGCCTCTGCAGTCCGCGGAGGGACCGGTCCGAGCGGACCGTACGACCGGCGAGTCAAATGCTCTGGCCATTCACAAACGTATAGACACATGTCATATGATTATATATATGATATATATTATTATAAACACATATCATATTCTATTAGAATAATATAGACACATATCGGCTTCGCGGTGAAAATCGCTTCGAGAGATCGAGAAGAACTCGACACCTGCCGGCTTTATGGACCTTCGCCTGCCGACGGAAAGAACACATGAGGGCTATCCCCATGGCGCTTTCTCGTGCCGTCCCCGATGATGTTTCTTCCTATGATGATTTTGTTGATGTCACAGGGGCGTTCAACCGCCACATGATGTGTGCAAGTTCCAAACATTGATAGACAAAAAACACGCATTGAAATAGAGAGCGGGCAGTTGTGGCCGTACGCTTTTTGGTGCATTTTGTATCACAAAATGGATCCCTATACATACCTCATTGAATCAGTCAATTCAAATGTAATTCTAATTCAACCTCATTTGTATGTTCTGTTAAAACTATATATATGTGTGTTCCTCTAGATTTCTGTGAATAATCATTCCTATACTGCATATAAAAGCTTCTATTTCAAAAGCTTCCCCCTAGATCTCTGGGATTGATCACTTCTATAAGAAGGGGCCGCCATGGAGCCTGTGTTTTGAAATTTGTATCTATAGACTTAACTTGTAATATCTTGGCATGAATCTAATTTAACATTTACACTAGATGATTGTGAACAAAAACACATGGAACAAATAAGGAAAACAACAGTCAAACAAAAGAACCATATTTATGATATGCTTGACTGAAGCCTCCCACAGAGAACAGACTTCTGAAAACATGTGGAGCTTAGCCGTCGACAAAGTGCAGAATTTTCCACAGAGTGCCTCATGGCAGTGCAGTTTTCTTGACACATGTTAACTGTATCAACAGAAGGCAACATTTGCAAGAAAACTGCACTGCCAGGAGTGCCGGTTGAAGCACCAGCTATCTGAACAAAAACACCCATTGGTTCATGTTGAGTTCCAAACACTGGCTCGGCCAGTGGCACCATGACATCTTTCATGACCTGTCGTGATAGTCCACCCTTTGCCCACGGCCTCACAGCTCACGAAGTAGCATTCCCGGCACCTAGGTGGACACAAAACAATACAGCAATTGGAAGGTCTGGGTCTGAGCAGGATTGGTGTGTGGTGAATGGCTCTGAATGACCAACATCTTTGAGATATTAGACTTCATCATCTTCATATTCAAAAACTTTCACTCACCAATATGTCGCCTCTCTATACACTGACACTTGAGGGACCGACAAACCCACATACAGGAAGCGGGAACACAGGATAACCCAAAACAGGGAGAGCCACTGGAGGTAACCTCACTCTGAACTACATCAACTGCTGGTCCTTGACAGGGGAAATGCTTCATGGACCTGGATTGTACCCATGTTTTAAACTGATTCACCCCTAGTGAGTAAACCTGACTTTTTTGGAGGTAGTGGATTTTCCAGACCCGAGGTATGCACGGTATGAGGCATTACCCGAAGAAAGTTGATTTTTGCGACCTTCAGGTGCCATGACTGCCCCATGACTGCCCTGCATCTGATTGTCTTGACCACCTGCATGCCGTAAGGGGGAACTCCCTACTTGGGAAATCCACTGTGTTTGATGTTTAAATACCTTCTGAATGTTGAGTGAATAGTGGATGAAAGCTGACATGCAAGGGTCATCACATCTGTCGTTGATGCATTTACAGCCATGAACAACTTCTGCGTTTTGGTTTACACACCCAACTTCTTTGGAGATCCTACCATGCGGTGGGTCAAGGAACTGCACCTCTTGATATTTGGAAACTCGCCTAGGTTTCACAGACCTCACCAACATCGACCACTTTGATCTGCCCCAGATCTTCTATGTGCCTTGGAAACATCGGAGAGCAAAAACAACTCGACATTTTTACCTTTCTCTCGCACAGTATGACGCACGTCTTCGACCCCTCTGAGCAACGCAGAACAGAACAGGACCGAGGCACTGATTCATGCTGATGATCTGGTCGTTGCATGCAGCCAGCGTCCCTCCATTGATTTGGCACTCGTTGAAGGCCTTTTTGCATTTGGCGGTTGAAGTTCAGAACAAAAGGAAAGATCTCTACAGTCGAAAACCACGTGATGGCCAATCTAAAGACACCTTGAGAATCAAGTTGCAATTCAATTGGGCATAGGGCGCTTGATCGTTCAATTGGGTTCGGTTCAATTCAAGTTGCTAAATGTCTTTGAAGCAATTCATTTATAATTTCTTTGTTTGCCCCAAACCATATAGTTTGGACCCTGGACTAATATATGAAACATACACTGCACACTAACGTTTTTTGCAATGCAGTTGTTGCAAACAAATCCCACGGGGACACCATGCCACAACTAAATCAATTTCCTTGCGTTGCTTGTTCCCTCGTGACACCGCGCTTCACCAAACAGCCCTGCCAAGTTTAAGCATGTGTGCAACACATTTCTTTTTCATGGTCGGGTGTGTTCAGCAACGAATGAGAGGCAGCAAATGAGTAGGATCCGCTGCCCCGGAAGCAAGCCACCAGCAGCGAGGCAGAAACAATAGCAAAAGCAAACCAACGGCAACAGCAAACTAGCAGCATCACAAGCAACACCACCAGCAGCAGCAGCAGCAGCAGCACAAGCAACAGCAGCAGCAGTGCTGCTTGCAGTCCAAGCAACAAGCAGCAGCAAGCACAAACAAAACAGCAGCAGGCCTGCACCAGACCCATGCGAGATTGCCCCGCTGTTGTTTTCTTGACACCTCCCCAAGCAACAAGCCACCCAGCACCAGTAGCAGTACGAGCAGCAGCAGCAGTACGAGCAGCAGCAGCAGCAGCAGCAGGAGCAGCAGCAGGAGGAGGAGGAGTAGTAGGAGGAGTAGGAGTAGGAGTAGGAGTAGGAGTAGGAGTAGTAGTAGCAGTAGCAGTAGCAGTAGCAGTAGCAGCAGCAACAGCAGTAGTAGTAGTAGTAGGAGTATTCAGTAGTAGTGGTAGTAGCAGCAGTAGTAGTAGCAGCAGCAGTAGTAGGAGTAGTAGTAGTAGTAGTCAGTAGTAGTAGTCAGTAGTCAGTAGTAGTACTCAGTAGTCGTCGTCGTCCTACTACTACTACTACTACTGCTACTACTACTACTGCTCCTGATCCCGATCCGGATGCTGCTGCTGCTGCTACTGCTACTACTCGTTACTACTCCTGTGCTTAGGAACCTCTACCAAATTATAGCTATAACAATAAAAACTGGAGCCCCGTGGCTTTTTTGAAACCACCCCGCAAAAGGTATTGTAGTCTCTACGTGCATCCCCTACAAACCAATACTGCAGCCCTGCTGTTGATATTTGACCCCCCCATCAGAACAAGTAGTCTCTACGTGCATCCCCTACAAACCAATACTGCGGCCCTGCTGTTGATATTTGACCCCTCCATCAGAACAACACCTCAAAAACACCAAAACCGGACCAACCCAGACTCAAGTAAAACAAGTCCAAAAAGTCCAGCAACTTACGAAACCAACACTCCCTCAAACCTTCAACCATCTTCAACCGTATCCCTAACCGTAACCTTGAAATTGCAACATTTGCCAACATGTCAATGTAGGGCTGCTGTTTGTTCATTCTAACCAGCACCCACCACCACCAACAAAAACAACTTCAACAACAACAAGCAGCAACATCTGCAGAAGAACTCCAGGAGAGCACCGTTGGGGGCCCACAGCCATACCTAAAACAGAGTATCCATGGCATCTGGTCTTTCAACCATGAATTGAATGCGTGTCCATATTCCCCAGTCATTCTCAGCCGCTCGGTTCAGAACAACAGCTTCTGCAGCGTCCGGTCCCGGCGCAGCGTCCAGCACCCACCGATGGACCCAGCCTTCTGGCAAACTTCCCACATGCAGCTTGGTGCACAGGCTTGGGACTGTGTGGTCTGCGTGGTCTCGTCCCACCTCATGCCAAGAATTGCCAGAACTCCGAACTCCTATATACAAAAAGGCTATTCAGTGTTTCGGTGGTTTGAGATCTTGAGACTTTTCTTTCAGGATGTGATAAATAATACACACATATGAATGAATATTGTATATTGTGCACGAACAAGAGATATAATATGTATGATATGAAAGAGTCTATAGTCTGTCATGCCAGCTCCCGTACGTGGCCAAACACAGTACATCAACCAGCATCATTGGTTAAAAGCCTTATAACCACGTAAGCCCCAAAAAGGGCCCCAAAAGGACAGCTATCAGCTATGGACACTGCGTGTCAGATCACAGATCCTTGAAGACCCACGGCACCTCTTGCTGGATACACCCGTCTCCTCACACCTTTGGTTCACAGGGTTGAGACTGTTGATTAACGTTGATTATATAACTAAACAAAAAACACGTGAACTATACGTGAACTGTAAATCCTCTTCATGCGGAGGTTTTGACAAATCAACAGTCTACAGTCTACAGGTTCCAGAGTCCGATGCACTTGCTGAACAACATATCACCAATTCGTTTCTTCTCAAACGGCCTTTTTTGTGGCATGGAACGAACTGTCGAAAATACAGCCCAAGAGTGGCCTTCGAACTTCTAAGATCTAAGATGAGGTGCGGATCCACAGTGTTGAAACAGGTCACCGGTCACCTGGTGGAAAGTGATCTGACAGGAACTCGGAACCTAACACGCTCCCACTGCCGCTGCACGAATCCGCTCGAATCTCCGCCGCGAATATCAGCGCGTCACCGACACTTGGGGTTGCTCAAGTCTTCCGCGCAATAGAGCTGACGGGCCGAATAGCCTCAAAGTCGGGCGAAGGTGGTCGACACCAGATCGACGCGAATCAAGCTGGTCGAAGGATCGGGCGAAAGAGGTCTCAAACACTCCATGTGTTGAAGAGATGATGTTATTTCATCCCTGAGACCAATCCAAAGCAATTAAATACTGCATACATGGAATGTCAGGGTTATGAAAGTGTCAAGATCCAGGAGTCTTTAGGCAAAGCGTGAACTGCATATGGGGTCCATTCGCCCCATACCCGAACAAGGTCCTCCCCGCTAAGGTCAGACGTCTGAAATGCATATCACCATGACCATATGTCTGGTGGTTCCACCAAACGTTCTTTTTGCATCTTTTTGTTCGTCAATGCTGCGCGGCCCTTCAAATGGTCTTTGATCATGAAATCCATCAATGCTGATGGCGAGGTGACAGCGACAGCGGTGACAGCTTCATCTTTCACAGATTCAATATCAAAAGGGGCAGGGAGTCTGTTGGTGTCCCAGGGGCACCGTTTTAGCACCTTATATAATCCCTCTGGAACCCTGTGGACCATCTTCGCCCAATGTCATTGAAAAAAGTGAGACATTCGTCACATGAGACGTTCATCCAAAAAAAAGCGAAGAGCAGGAACAAATCCCCTGCCTGTATGGACTGCATGGAAACTTCAACAAAGCCTGCTAATCCTCAAGTCCTGCAGACATCTGTTCACTGCCTCTTCTATAATATACATATATATATATATCAATCAAGTACAGTATATACTCAAAAAATCTCAATGACCTTCACTCTAATCAAATTGCATCTGGTAGAAGGCTTACTCGGCCTCGCAACTCTCCCAGGCCAGCATCCAAAGTCTCCCAAGGTCCGAGTTCCGTCTCCGAATCCGAGCCGCTGCTCCATTCACCATCACAACCTCCGCAGCTCATTTCCTTGAAGACAGGGTCCTCCTGGCGCAGGAGTCTACCCGAAGGAGTCTTGGGTATCCTCCAAAGATCATTCCCAGCAAATCCATGTACTCAATAGGCTTGGCTTGCGTTGGGTCATAAAATGTCATAAGTCATCTTATTTAAGTTATATATATAAATCTCATTCCAGGACGGTCTTGCGACCCGACGCTTGGGATTTTGGTACCCTTAGAACAGGGTATACATCACTGACCCATATCAAAAAAAAGGCAACCGTAGCCGTCAATTCTTCTGGGTTGAGAGGAACATTTGTGTTTTTGTTGGGGATGGGCTCCCAGTGACTTTTTTGGTTCCCAACGAAATAGTGGTTGAAGGAGACCTCCTATGCATGTATATATAGTTTCCATTGGACAAACATATCTCTGTCCCCTTTCCTTCCGTGCAACACAGCTCTTGGGCTTTCCAGGCCGAAATCTTGCGGCTTCCCCAAGTCAACTTGGAGATTGAAGGGGCGGATGATGCCCATTCCAGAAACCAAAACAATCCACGACTCCCGTCCCGTTCTTCCCCCGTTCTTCCCGGCGCACCGCGAGGCCCACGGAGTCGCGGCACTCGCGGTGGATCCTGCGGATGGACTCCGTGGACTCCGTGGACGTCCCCCGGTGACATAAGTCAATAGCGGAGTCCATCAAATATGGATGTTATACCTGTTCTATTATGGTTATAGCTGTTCTATTTAAAACACCTACGAAAAGTTGAAAGGAGCAATCGTAACTGATTCATGTCAGACTATGAGCTCAATGGAGTGAACATTGGCCCTCTCCAGGGAAGGTATAAAGACGCAATAAAAAAAGCAGGGGAATAGCGACAATTACGAGTCCAATAGTTTACCTTCTACCCTTAGCCTTGTAGTCTCTGGAGATACACCGAGTTTCAGGCATATGAACTTTTGTTGTCCATCTCACTTTTTGATCAGTGGCATGCATATCATATTATATATATAGCTACTCGTGACAATATTTTTTGTGCATAGATATGCATAGATGTGTATCTGTTGATGCGTCACAGCATCAACATCCTGAATCTGAGCTCTTAGACGGAACCAGGGGTGGTGGATTGACTGGGCACTGAAAAGCATTCTAAAACACATCAAAACATGGCCACTCCTCTGTGCCTTAAGGGGACATCGTTCACAACATTCGGAGCAACCCATGTAACACCCCTGTGGTATCTCCTCTCGTCTCGTATCCAAGAGGTGTCAAATGAAACCGGTTTTAGCGCCTGTGCGTCTAAGGTGGCCCATTCCCAGTCTCAGAAGGTCGATTTTGCGAAGACTTTGGTGTCCCAAGTCTTCCAACAGCTTCGTGACACTGAAAAGGTGATCCCCAGCCATTCTATATATATATACCACGCGATTGATGTGGCATGTGCTTGCATTGATTCTGATGACCTCTCACAAATGACCTTAGTGGTGTTCTCGCATCCCAAGAAATTTGAAGGATCATCCAAACTGAACATCCTCAAGGCTCTCACCACCAACTCTGCAAATACACCAACTTGAAAGGGTCTATAAGGATCCCGCTTGGAGATCTAATGGACACAGGTGCGGGTATAATATATTATATATACTCTAGAAGCAATATGTTTGGAATCTAAATCTCTATCAATGCAACAAAAATAAATACAATCCTCCCAGAACTGCCCGTTCAGTTCATGTTACCGTGTCTGGGCAAAGTGAACTAACTACCAACTACTGAGTATACCAGGGTGTCCAATGAACCTGTTAAAAGGTTGATTTCTTTTTGTGCCAGCTCTTCACCATCAAACATCCAAAATGTTCGTCCATTATGACTCTCTCAGAAAGACTGTCACGTCCGTCCTGTGATTGCACGGCCCATGGATGGGTGACAATGGCGATCGACAAGTTGCTGTATACATTTTAATAGGGAGACACCCAACCAATGGTTTGATGGCCAACATGCAGTTTCATGCAGTCGACGACATGCAGTGACCAGTGACCACCCCCAGCTTAGCGTGAGGCAGGCACACCACCCAACCAATGGGTTTGGGCCTATTTCCCTTCTTCCAGAGAGTCTTTCGGAGGTCTCCCTACTTTAATACACAGTTGCACACCCATATAACTATATACTGTATACTGTACATAATTATATATATATATGTGTGTGTTTCTTTTTTGAGTAGAGGGAGACCCCTTGGCCCAAGGTCTATTTTCCATCCTTAGGGGGTCTTTGAGGTCTGCAGTCAGGCACTCCTCTAATGCAGTAAAAAGTGTTTGTATTTCAGCCAGTTTGGAGAGAGCATCATTGAAAAAGTCTATGACACACTAGTTCTTCTAATCACCCGGGTGACTCCCGACCCGCCTGAGGCACCCAAGGCCACTGCAGGTGGCCCATTTCGAATCCATACCTCTGAAGAGGATTCTGTCGCAACCAGGTCACCACTTGCCAGTGGTGGGTATGGGTCCAACTTGGGGGTCGTTGGTTGACCCAAAATGAAGACTTTGGAAGGTCCACCGACCACGTTCCCTGCACCACAACTCACGGTGAGACACGGCCATTTGGATGGCGTGACAAAAGAGAAGTCCCGGCCATTCGTTTGGGATGGGTCGATATAAAGCTGAGGCTAAAACTTATGCGCACGGTTTTCAAGATACCTTTCTCATCTAATCCTCAAATGTCCAGTGGCGTCTTGAGAAAGACTTGAGAGGAGGGAGACACGAAAGGTAAGACAGCGGGAAGAGAAGAGAACGCGAGAGGCAGGAACAAAAATGCAATGTTCGACATGGTGATTTATCCCCTCGGAGGCGACCTTTCGTACATATATGTTCATATGCACTTTAAATGTTCAAACATGTGCTCTCGAAATGTTCAAAAAGACATGGCTCAGATCATCGGTGAGCATTGAATCGGAACATCATAGGATTTGAACTATCCTGAAACCAGAAGAGGCTCACGAAGACGCTCCCCAGGAGAGAATTGACGTGCTTCACAAAACAAACTCTAGGTATGTATCCCCTCGGGGAACACCTTTCGTGATTAGAATTTCATATTCACTCTTTCTGAATGTTCAAGAGGGTTTCAACTATCCTGAAATCATGAGAGGCTCACGAAGACGATCTCCAGGAGAGAATTGATTTTAGAGGGGGGGAGGGGGGGGGGGGTCTGTATTGAAAAATCAATTCCAAGGGGGGGGGGGGGGGGGGGGGTCTGAATTGAGCGATCAATTATTAGACCCGGACGTCCCAACACTTGCTTCGCAAGACAAACTCAAGGTATCCCCTAAAGGGCTACCTTTCGTGACAAACCCAAGTCAAAGCAAACATGGTCACCTAGTTGACACCTGACCCAGTAGTGGAAGGTATAGCTTTGCCAAATGAAAGAACATCACAACTAGCCAGAAGCAATTGACAAAGGAGGCTTCAATCTTCCCAAGGAAGGCTAGCTCAGTCTTCCTGTTCTTCTTTGGAGGGCAAACGCGTGTTCCATTCCACCTTAGTTGGTCATCCAAATGAGTGGGAAAATCCGGAACATGCAATCTCAAAATCAAGAAGGGAACACATTCTGTATGATACAAACCACGCATGTTCATGTTGTTCCTATAAATGAAACCAGTGTCCCCAATCGACAGTTGCAGGTCGGCACTGAATCAGCGCATCGACTCATGTCGATGGATGGCCGGTTCGGCCGGCTGGGAGGCGCACCCGACACCGACAGCAGTTTACTCTTCAACATGCTGTGTCAACTCTGAGAAAAACCCATTGAATCGTTCGGTACGTAGAGAACCATGAAGCCCATTGGGGAAATTTGGGTACAAGCTATGCTATGCATTGCTATGCATTCCTATGCATTGCTACGCAACTATTCGCATTCCCTACATGGATGGTTTGGAAACTGCTTCATGTTGGCCCAGGCACATGCTCGGAATTGCTCCTGGAAGGTGTCGAAGCCTGGGAGCAATTCCAGTCCGGGAGAGGAACAAAAATGGTGCCACGATATCACTGTCCGTTGCAAAATGAAACCTTTCATGAATGGATATGATTTCATCACAGTGGTCAATCCAAACTGGTCGACGGGGCGTGATTGAGTTTGATACATTTTATCGAAACATGAATGTCAGTCCCGTTTGGTCCTTTTTGTTGAAAGCAGCAAAATTGTTGCAATTGAATTGTATTTTGTAGTTCATTCATGTTCATACCAAATTGGACAGGATTTTCATGGCACCTTCATCCCAGGTTTGCATCTCCGGGTAACAAGGTACGAAGGACAGTCTTCTTTTCTGCTGATTCCTGGAACTATATGTAGATATGTAGATGGTTTCTCTGACCATGGGACAAATCATTATATAATGGCCAGAATAGTTACCCCAGAAAAAGAGAAGTTGCAAAACCGGGCAAGTCTGAAGACGTTTCCAACACATTGTGGCCAGTGGGCTATTTTCTGGCACAAAAGCATCCAAATGAATAGCCCAAGTATCCATGAATTGCCCAGTGGATCCCAGGCAAATCACGGTTTTTGTCAGGGTGAACCGTTCGGTCTACATGTTCGGGACTCGTGGGAACTGCCTGGAACCCCTGAGTCAGCTGCGTTGGGCCGGGGGCACAAGCCAACCAACCAGCTTACCGAGCTTCACCGTTGCCGTTGCCGTTGCTCGGTGCAAACCCAGGGACGTCCTTTGCATTTGTCCCAAACAGACATCTGCTCGACCTCCAACCAATTCCAGCATTGCCTGGGAATCGGAGTCGTCGGCGGATGTGGAGAAGTGTTGGGCGACCCGAAAGGCCGCATGTCTCAGGCCGCTTTTGGGCTGGCGGCTTTCTTGGAAGCCAATACTAAGCGCGAAAGGTTTCACATTGATGGATTGACAAACAACTATATAAATAACCCCCTAAGATCAATGATACCACCACCATCCAAGTGTTGTCTAATGGAATCCCACAAGCAGTACAGGATAGTGTAGGGGTAGTATATTGGAGACCCCTTGGAAGTAACTCACTGGTATATGTTGTCATGTTTTCATCATGGATGCACTTTTTCAACACACGGCTCACCTCACTGTACACGTCCCCAGCATCAATCCGCTTTAGTACACTTCGTTTGTGGTCACATTTGGGACCGTGTCTTCTAGGAAGAAATGTTTGTTTGAACAAATGTTTGTTGATTGCTTTTGAGGGCTCAACGATGGCCTGGAGTCTTCGTCTGTGCTTCTTTGTTGTTGTTGTTGCTGGTGCTGCTGTGTTGTTGTTTCGATACCCCACTGGTCCTTGATTTTTGGGCTGTTGCGCAAACAGACGTTGAGGTACTAGTACATACTATAGCACGAGTACCACTAACATGAGTGTGGTGTTGCTTCCACAGCAATGAGCACTCGGATTTCCAGATCTTCCATGGTATGTCATAGTTAAATATGACAGTTCTATTTGAGTACTTTCAGGTTCTACTTGAGTTATAGTTGAATATAATGGTCAATTTCCAATATATGTATTTTCAAGTTTGAGTCTCTATCCTCTTACCCGGACATAGTTCGTTTCGGGAGCTTATTGTTCCAATTTGGATTCCTCTCTCCGGCATTCTCCGCAGAAAAGAGTCGGATTGTGGATGCAGCTGTCCATCTCGTTTTCGCACTCCTTGGGCCCAAGAAATTCATGACATGATGAGAGGGCACACGTTGTAGCAAGGACGCTATTAGGTGGAGGCCATCGCAAGTAGGTTGGAGGCCATCACTACCAGTAACAAGAAGCTACTAGTAGCAAGGTGTCTCAGGGTAAACCTTTTTGTGTCGCTTCAAGCGGATCCATCCCCAGCGGACCACCAAATGACCCTCCAAGATCGTTGTGTCCGAGTTGTCCAGTCACAAGGGGGTCGTAACTCCAGGTTCAGCACTGGTGGTTTCTTATCCAAACAAACAGGTGGGATAGGATATGATAGGATAGGATGATCCCGTTTGAAGGGAGCAAAGCTCCCTACAGTCCAACTTCACCACTGTGACCGTACACATGAGAGGTCCAAATGTGGATCGCCAGTGCCGCCAAACGACAAAACGACTCGACGGTTCTTGACCGAAACACGCCCAATCTCTTCAAAGCTTGGTGCGATGGGTTCGGCAGATTGAGGAACAGAACAGAACACCTAGCATTCGAACCACCATTGATATATGTATATATACAATTTGTACCAAACAACCATTGTTTTAAACTAAGCATCTTGCACTCCAACACCAGGTCAACCATTGTTTAAAGTGTGATTTGAAGGCCAAGAGAACTGTTTGTTGCAGCTAGAAAAAACTTGTACGCTTCACAGCCAAGCGGCCAAGCGGTGAACAGTGATGATGAGACTTGCCCAACAAAAACATCCAACTCAATTATGTCAGAACACGTCTATTTGAGGAACACCATGGAACACCTAATTCAATTTGATGCTTTGGATCTCGTGACCAAGGGGTCTAAGTTATCACCAGCACCTAAGGCCTAAGAAGAGACCACTTAACTCATGGGGTACCCACACTCACTGCTACCAAGCCGCAGGGAGGCAGCTGGGTCCATAGGGCGGTGGGGGCACGTAGGGCTTTCCGTCCGCTCCGACGTCATAGCCTGAAATCGCATCAACGGGGCGGTGGGGACACTGCACCGCTCGGTCAGGGTGACGAGTCAGCCGAAAGTGCCGAAACGAATCAAATAAAGAACCAGCACCACTGCACCACGCAGTAAAAGGATGGTCTTGCATGGTAAACGCATAGACCACCCTTTGGTGGTGCTGGTATGCCCTTCCCAGTGACCATTTCAGGGTTTCTATGGATTTTTATGGATGTATGATGTCTATTTCGAGAACTAAGTATATATATAATATATAACATCATTGTGGGGTCCCCAAATTTTCAAATGTCACCGAGTGGAGGTTCCGGTGTCCTGGTCGTGTCGACGGAAGTGTCCTGTCCTGCGCAAAACTCGACTCTTCCCAGCGATCAAACATTTGGGTGTCATTGCAGCAGAAAGGAACGAGCAACTGCTGCTGGTTGGTGGTACCAACTCGCTTGAAAAACATTAGTCAGTGGGTTCAATCATCCCATGTAAACCACCCTTCTGCAAGCCCCTGTTGTCATGAAACAAACAACCTGCCATTGGCCAGGTCAATATTTTGTCTGGGCTCTTGATTGGAGAGGAGACCGATGTTCCAAAGATTTCCAAAACAATGAAGGCTTGCCAAAGTAGTTAGGTAGTTTTTATTCGGATGAATTGGTGAATAGCTACCTGGACGATCCGGTCTTTCCTGGTGACAAGGTCCGGTATCCAAAAACCACCTAGTTTTGTTTGGAAAAGGTGGTATAGAATGACATTCGAGGCTAGGGAAGGGGAGCCATGCTGAATTCGTTCAGCATAGCCTTGCAGCTCTTCGGGGGAATCCTAGACTA